CTGCCTGGTGTATACTGCCTGGTGTATACTGCCTAGGTGTTTACTGCCTGGGTGTATACTGCCTGGGTGTATACTGCCTGGTGTATACTGCCTGGGTGTATACTGCCTGGGTGTATACTGCCTGGGTGAATACTGCCTGGGTGTACACTGCCTGGTGTTTACTGCCTGGGTGTATACTGCCTGGTGTATACTGCCTGGTGTATACTGCCTGGGTGTATACTGCCTGGTGTATACTGCCTGGTGTTTACTGCCCAGGTGTATACTGCCTGGTGTATACTGCCTGGTGTATACTGCCTAGGTGTTTACTGCCTGGGTGAATACTGCCCAGGTGTATACTGCCTGGTGTATACTGCCTGGCGCTGGCCTTTACTTGGGGAACAACTGCCTGGAGATTGAACAGATAGTGCAGAAATTGAAGAAATGGACTCCCCTTCCCTCCCTCATATCATGACCATTTTCTATCAATTTGTTATTAGCTGGAGCCCAGAATCTGCATTAGCATTCCCCCCTTGTATGGGACATTCAGTGGGCTTTGACAAGTGCCCTATGCTATAACACAGAGTAGTTTCAGCGCCTAACACTCCTCTGTTCCCGCTTACTCACCCCTCCCTCCCTCCCCATGCCTGGCAACCCCTGATTTTATTGTCTCCTTGGTATTGCCTTTTCTGCAGTGTGGTGTAGACCCATACGGTATGGGGCTTTTTCAGACAGGCTCTTTCACTTAGTACTGTGTGTTGAAGGCTCCACCACAGCTTTTCATGTCACTAGTTTATTTATCTTTTGCAGTACTGAGAACTGAACCTAGGACCTTGTGCATGCTGGGAAAGATACCACTGAAATGTATCTTTAAAATTTTTATTTTGATACAAGGCCTCACTAAGTTGCTCCACCAGGCCTTGAAGTTGGGGTCCTCCTGTCTCAGCTTGGCTTATCTTTCCACCCCTATTTTGTGATGTGTGTGCATGTGTGTGTGAGGGTGAGCACATGCTATAGCACACATCTGGAATTCAGAGGACAGCCTCAGGTGTCGGTCCTCACCTACCTTGTTTGAGATGGTCTCTCTTCTCTTGTTTATTGTGACCTGTATGCCAGGCTAGCGGCTCATGAGCGGCTGGGGATTCCTGTCCCCACCTCAGTTCTTGAGGCAGGGTCCCTAGAGTTTCCCAGTTCAGCTAGACTCTGTCTAGCAAGCTCTAGGGATCTGCCCTCCTTCACCTCAGTGCTGGGATTGCAGGGATTTGCCGATGCTCCTGGGTTTGTGAGAGTTCAGAGGAATTTCTCAGGTCCCCACACCTGTGCGCAGCTCCAAGCCCGGCTGAACTGTCTTCTTCCTGACCTTTTTTGTGTTTGTTTTACTTATTTGTTTATTTTTGTTTTGTTTTTGTTTTTTGGTCTCACATTATATAGCCTAGACTTGCCTTGAACTTATAATCCTCCTGCCTCAGCATTCCGAATGCTAAAACTACAGATGTGCATCACCATACATGGTCACCCTGTTGTCATTTCTGATGTTCGGAATTTCAGTCATTTTGGTCAGTCTGTTTAAGTACCTGTTCATTTTGCTGGTCTTTTCAGTGAACACACTTGGGTTTTGTTGACTTTTCTCTTTTGTAACTGTTGTCTTCTCTGGGTGATCTCCCCTCTGCTCTGTGCCTGTCCCTTCTTTCTGTTAGCTTTGTGTCTGACTTGTCTGGTTCTTCTAGCCCCTCCTTCCTTCCCTTCCAAGTGAGCTGCCTTTGTAAAAGCTGGGGAGGTGTCCGTCATGTTAGGCCATTCATTTTAGCTTTTTTTTTTTTTTTAATTTTTATTTTGAGACAAGGTTTCACTAGGCACTGTGTAACTCCAGCTAGCCTGGACTCTACATAGACCAGGGTGTCCTCAAACCCATAGAACTCTACCTGCTTCTCCTCCAGAGTGGTAGGATTAAAGCGTGTGCCACACCTGACCCAAGCTCGCTCTGTTTTAAAGTGTGTGAGTTTATGGCTTTGCTTCTCCCTCTCAGAGGTGTGCTGGCTCCATCCCTTAGATTTTGGTGTGTTTGTTTCTCATTTGACTCAAGGTTGTTTTCAGTTTATTTTGACCTGTTAGTTTAGTGGTTCTCAACCTGTGGGGTGTGACCCCTTTGGGGGTCAAACTACCCTTTTGCAGGGGTCGCCTAAGACCATCAGAAAACACAGATATCTATATTACTATTCATGGCAGTAGCAAAATTACAGTTATGAAGTAGCAATGAAAATAATTTATGGTTAGGGGGTCACCACAAAATGAGGAACTGTATTAAAAGAGCCACAGCATTAGGAAGGTTGAGAACCGCTGTATTAGTTGTTTGATTCCTACAGATTTGTGAACTCTGGTGGTATTGATGTCTAGGTTCCTGTAACATGATCCGAAAAGAGCCTTTGATTTAAATGCTTGTAAATATATTGAGACTTATTTGTGACTGAGGAGCTGCATGTTTTGTGATCTAGAGTATGTTCATGTGCACTTGGGAAGAGTGTGGGCTTTTTTGTTACTGGGTAGTGTGTTTTGTGTGTGACTTTTAGGTACAGTTTAGAGTATTGCTCAAGTCTTCCATTTCCTTATTGATCTTGTAGCTGGTTGTCTAGTCTGTTGTTTAAAGTGGTGCATTAACATCTTTAAATGTTAGAGAGCTGTCTGTCTCCCTTCAGTTCCACCAATATTTCCTCATTTGGGGCTCTGATACTTGGTGCAGATGTGTTTATAGTTGTTACATGTTCCTGATGAATAAACCTTTTATTTACATATGCTGGTTTTTTTTTAATCTCTTGTACCAGTTTTGACTTAAGGTCTATTTTGTCTAATGCTAATCCAGCCACTCCTGTTTCTGGTTTGGTTTCTGTTTACAATCAAGTGTGTTCAACCTGCTGCCTGTGGGCCACATGGGGCTGGATGGGACTGAGGACAGCTGTGAATGTAGCCCAACACAAAGCTGTAAACATACTTAAAACATTATGAAATTGTTCTTGAACATTACATTTGTAGATGACCACTTCCCATGCTGAAATGTCAGAAGGCTGGACACACCTAAGTGGACTGTCCTCTTCCTCCTTTCACTTTCAACCGATTTGTGTCTTTAGCTCTTTAGTGAGTGTCTTGGAGTATTTAGTTGCGGCATATGTTTTTAAGGCCATTCTGCCAATCCCTGCCTTTTGATCAGAGAGTTTATCCTGCTTACATTTAAAGTAATTGTTGAGAAAGAAAGATTTGTCTCTGCTGTTTGTGTTTGTAGGTCTTTTAGCTTTTTCAGCCCTTGTTTCTACCTTGGCTGATTTCCTTTGTGTATAGTTAATATTTCTGTGGTAATGTTTTGATTCTTTTATTTTACTTTATGTGTATTCTATAGATACCGTCTTCATGGTTAACATGAAAATTCCAGATGCCCCCTCCAGAGAGACTCTTGCCCTTCCAGCAGGTGTGGGTCTCCTGTGGTCAGCACAGGGGTGCCATCTGGGGTCCCTTTGGAGGCTGTGCTGGCTCACCCCTCATGCTGTCCACATGTGTTCCAGATCAGACCTACTGTGACCGGCTGGTACAGGACACACCTTTCCTGACAGGACAGGGTCGCCTGAGCGAGCAACAAGTGGACAGGATCATCCTCCAGCTGAACCGCTACTACCCACAAATCCTTACCAACAAGGAGGCCGAAAAGGTGCTGAGGGGTGAGCGGGGCCAGGGTACCTCTTGGGTGTCTCCCCTCTGTAATTAGAGTCTTTCTCTGTCCCTCTAGCCACCTCTCAAACAATAACACAGAGACTTTTTATTAATTATGAAAGCTGAGCCTTAGTGTAGGCTGTTTCTAATTAGCTCTTATAACTTTAATTAGCTCATCTTATCATCTACATGCTGCCATGTGGCTTGTGACTTTTACCTCTCCTGCATGTCCTGCTTCCTCTGTGTCCAGCTGGCGACTCTCCCTTTCTTCTTCCTAGAGTTCTCTCTCTGTCTGGAAGTCCTGCCCATACCTCCTACCTAGCTATTGGCCATTTCGCTTTTTATTAAACAAATCACAGTGGTTTATATTTACACAGTGTAATCAAATATCTCGCAAGACCCCTCTCTGAACTGGAAGAAGCTGGCATAGACCTTGAGTTGTCTTCTCAGGAATGGGAATCACACCTGGACTTGGGCAGATCCACATGGTCTTATATCATCAGATCTTTATGCCTCAGTTTCTCCAAATGTTCTTGTTGCTGCTGGCCCCTTCCAGAAGGTTTATAAGAAGGTTGCAGGAGGTGATACATGGTGTCTTAGTTAGAGTTACTATTGCTAGGATAAAACACCATGACCAAAGTCAAATTGGGGAAGAAAGGGTTTATTTGGTTTATGCTTCCACATCCATAGTCTATAACTGAAGGAAGTCAGGACAGGAATCCAAACGGGGCAGAAACCTAGAGGAAGGAGCTGATGCAGAGGCCATCGAGGAGTGCTGCTTACTGGCTTGCTCATCATGGCTTGCTCGACCTGGTTTCTTACAGAATCCAGGTCCACTAGCCCAGGGATGGCACTACCCACAATGGACAGGGTCTCCCCCATCAATGCTCTGCAGGCTTGCCTATAGCCCACTCCTATAGAGGCATTTTCTCAATTGAGGTTCCCTCCTCTCAGATAACTCTAGATGTGTCAAGTTGACATAAAATTTGCCATCACACATGACAACACACAACACAAGAATAAAAGGAGGGCTGACAAAGGAGGGATCAGAAGTCCAGACCTGGAATTTTGGGTATATAGCTCAGTTGGTAAAATGCTTTCTGTGTGAATATGAGACTTGAGTTTGGATCCCCAACTGTAACCCCAGCAGACACAGAGACAGTAGATCCCAGGGCCTTGCTGGCCAACCAGTTTAGCCAAAATGGTGAACTCCAGGTTCAGTGAGAGACTCTGTCTCAAAAAAGTAGGGTACAGTGTAGCAGGAATCTTAAAGTGTCCTATTCATTAAATCAAATCTGAGGCCAGTTATTGGGGTGAATACTAGAAGATCAGAGAGACAGAACAAGCCACAGCTCACTTCACCTGGCCAACTTCTCAGCTGATCTTGTTTCCTCAGACTGGAAGCCTCTGTGTCCTCATATCCAAATGGCTCTCAGCTGAACTGTGCTGCTCAAAACCTAAAAGCTTAACCAGCCAAATGCTTCTAGTTTCTGGTCCTCACGCCTTATATATCTTTCTGTTTTTGCCATCACTCCCTGGGATTAAAGACTCACTTCTTGGGATTAAAGGCATGTGTCACCATGCCTGGCTGTTTCCAATGTGGCCTTGAACTCACAGAGATCCAGAAGGATTTCTACCTCTGGAATGCTAGGATTAAAGGTGTGAGTGCCACCATTTTCTAGCCTTTGTATCTAGTGGCTGTTCTGTCTCTGACCCCAGATAAGTTTATTAGGGTGCACAATATTTTGGAGAACACAATACCACCATAGTACAGAGCCATTGAGGAAAGAATCCTGATATCAACCCCTGGCCTCTGTGTGCACCCACGTGCATGGGCACCCCCCCACACACCCCCACACACAGACACATAGACATATACACACACACCCCTACACCATATACACACAGACACATGCACACTCACACACATACATACCACACCACACATATGTAGACATGCAGACACACAGACACATACCACACACACACAGTCACACACACTACATACACACACACCTACACCATATGCACACAGACACAGACACATACGCACATTCACACTATACCATACACACACACACACACCACACCACACATATGTAGACATGCAGACACACACCACACACATGCACACACACCACACTACACATATGTAGACATGCAGACACACAGGACACACACACACACACACACACACACACACACACACACACACACACACACCAGAAGTCTGGACCTGTTGGTACCCTGGAACCGTGGCTCTTCCAGAGGGTCAAAGTAAGTGAAAGTTCACTGCTTTTCCTCATCATTCTTCCTTGTGTTTATAAGGCCAAAAGGCCAACCTGTAATAGATGGGCAGTGGAGGCTGCCCCTAACCCACAGCCAAGCCTGGCCTGCCTGCTCAGCAGGCTTGAGGGAGGCCGGTCCCACTGGGAGCTTCAGCGTCTGTAAAACAAGCATGCTATCCCACTTGGCTCAGAGACTGGAATGTGGCCTGGTCCACCTGAGCCAGGTGAAGAGCTACCAGGCACACTCTCTGGACATCTCGGGTTCTTACCCACAGCCCTACAAATAGCTGAAGTCTTTACCCCATTTTACAGAGGGGACTACTGAGGCCTGAAAGACCTCACAGCTGCAGACACCATAACAGTTCTCTGGAGATGGCACTTCAGATGCAGTCCCTGGGCTTTGTGTCACAAAGGTTGATCCTGCCTAATTCCTCCAGGCCTGAGAAGGGGACCCCAACAAGCCCCAGGTTTCAGGGACAAGGATGAGTTGGGCCTGGCCTTCTCCAAGTTTCAGCACATGCCCCTGGCAGTGTCACCAAGATTGGAGGTACTGGATAGGACAGGGAGTGACAGAGACCCACTAGGCCTTTGAGGGTCCATTTCAGATCCTGCTCCTGGTCACCTCTTCTGGGTACCACAGATGATTCCCCTTCTGGGAGGTCGGCTCAGAGCCGGCAAGGTTGGGCGGGAGAGAAGCAGAGTCAACTCAGACACAGTGTGAGCCCCACAGTGTGATTTGAAAGGGACAGGCTCCAGTTCGTCCCCTTGTTGTAGTAAGAAGTCTAATACATAAACTCCGGATGTTTATACCCCAAGGGGGCTGTCCTCTCACAGGCCCTCCAGGCTTCTGTTATCTCTGGTCAGTTTTCCCCCATAGCCACCAGGGGGCAGCACCAGACCACAGCCGGGTCTGGACTCAGTGCCAAGTGGTCTGTCCACTGACCTTCCCAACCACGTCGGAAGAAACTGTTCTTCTCTCGGTGGCTTTTGAAATGCTAGCCTCATGTTCCTACAGACTGAAAAGTAATAGCAACTATCACGTATGCCATCATTCACGCTCTGTAACAACCCCCCCCACGTGGGATTATTTCCTTTTTACAAAACCTGAGTCTCAGAGGGCTGAAGTGACTCACTGAGGCCACACGGGGAGAAGCTACACGAGTGTTGTTACTTAGGGTGATGTCCCTCACGCCCTGCTTCCTTGGTGACCTCTCCCAGCCTGTTGCCCTGGAAACACAAGTATTAGCCAAGACCTAGCCGGCAACTAACTGCTCCAGCGTTAGGTGCCACACGGGTGTGTGAGAGGTGGCGAGGGTTCTGGAGTCTGTGGCACTGAGGCTGGGGTCCTGAGCGCAGCATGTCACAGCTGCCCCCTCCAGCCCACCCTTCCTTCTGCCCCCAGTTCCGGAACCCCAAGGCGTCCCTGCGTGTGCGGCTCTGCGACCTCCTGAGCCACCTTCAGCAGCGTGGGGAGCGGCACTGTCAGGAATTCTACCGAGCGCTCTACATCCATGCCCAGCCCCTGCACAATCACCTGCCCAGCCGCTACGCCCTTCGTAAGTCCTGCCCCCGCCCCCCCCCCACCGCAGCACCCCACACTCACCAGGGAGGGCGCCAACTGCTAGCAGCGTGGCGGTCCTCGGTGCCTGGTCCTCGGTGCCCATCGGAGTCAGCAGCAGCCCACCCTGGGCATCTCTCCCGTCTGGTCCCTCCTCAGAGACCGCCCAGAGAGAACAGCACAGGCTGGCATATCAGTCTAGCCCTCTCCCTCTCTGTCGCTTCCCTTCCCCGGGCCAGTGTTCGTACAGAAGCCGGCGCCCCCACGTACCCCGCCTGCCTCCCCTTGTTTCCCATACATAGCAGCTTCGTTCTCACAGCTCCGGGCTGCGCCTCGGTCATCCCAGCCGGGAGTTACCAAGCCCACAGGAGACCCCAAGGCCACGTCTACTTTTTCTATCACCAGCCTGCTCACATGGGGTTTCTGTAGGGCATCCTTGGGTATAAGTGTGGATGGTTGGTGAGAGACAGTGTCATCTAGAGCTCTAGGTGATAGGTAGGTCCCAAAGGTCTGGGGTCACTGGAGCTGCTGGGATCTGGAAGGTCACAGTAAGGCCAGTGTGGCGACTCAATCCCAAGGTTCTGTGCTGAGGGACCTGAGAGGAGGTGCTGCTGCTGCAGACAGGAAGATGAGGTGACTCTGCCCATGCGCTGTGCTGGGACTCTGCGCTGGAGTCTCTGATCCCAAGGAGTCTTCCCCAAACCTCACAGGACACAGTGTGGACAGTTGAGGACAGAGTGAATAGGCTTTCTTCCTCATCTCTATAGAAACTGCTTCACTGGGTCCTTTAGCACCCAGCTGGATCCAAGCCACATCCCTGCAGGAAACGAAGCACCTTCTGTGGTTCAGAGGTGCCCCGGGGTCCGTGTGGCACGCCATCTGCCTGCTAACCCCATGGGGGAGTCCAGGGAAAGCTCTGGCCTGCTGCGTCTGGTATGGCAGCCCCGATGAGGCGAGCCGTTGACTCTTGATAGTGGATGTTTGTCCTGTCTTTGGTGACTTGTGGCAAACAGGATGCAGTGGCCTACTCCACACCCGTGACGTCACAGAAACTAGACCAAAGGAACCCCAAATTTATGCGGTGTTCTCTGGAGAGCTGACCTCACTGTGTGACCCAGGAGGCGGAGGCACTGCCTTGGGTTTCTCTGGGGACAACCCCGCACTCAGCTCAGCCCTCTACTAACCATGCTCTGTAATTTTGTTTCCAGAAAACTCAGATTGCAGAGAGCTGGACTGGGACAGTGAGAGCCGTGAGCTGAGTGACAGGGGTAACCGCCCCGCCACCTCCTTTGTCTTTCCCTTTTCCCTCAGGGCTCTGTCTGTGTCCCAGGGGCTTCTCCACCCCACATCGGGGTTCTTCCCGGTTTTCTGTTGGGGAGCAGGCCCCCTGTAGTGCCCGCCAGCTGCTACAGGCCATCCCCCTCCTTTCTCCCCAGGACCCATGAGCTTCCTGGCAGGCCTAGGCCTGGCCGCGGGCCTGGCCCTCCTCCTCTACTGCTGCCCTCCAGGTGAGTGCGGGCTGCCCCCATTGGAGAGTGGCAGCTCATCATTGTAGTGGGCAGCCAGCAGAGCCCAAAGTCAGAGGGCCCGGCCACGCCTGTCTCTTGGAGTCATCTCTCTCGAGACTTGGTCTCCCCACCTGTGGTATCACAGCCCTGACAAGCCTAAACCCACTGAGGCCCGTGGCTTGCCACCAGCCTCGCCTGCTCTACCCTTCCACCCCCACCCCACTCCCCTCTCTCCACCCCCTCGCGATGCCTGAGTCTGCCATCCCGGGAGGCCTTTGGGGATAGGGCCAGGTATGGGCTCGTACAGCCGTATACGCTGAAGCTTGGGGGTCACCCAGGCAGGAGCTGGTGGGCTCAGGGGTCAGATCCAGTGCTGATCTTTCAACCTGAAAACGAAGACTGTGTGTGAGCAGGAGGTAGGGACGGCGCCACGTTCCGCCTGTTCCAGCTCTCCCAGAACTGAGTTCCCCTTCATGGCTGCTCCTTGGGTTGTCACTGCTCGCCTTTGTCTTCTAGACCCCAAAGTGCTGCCGGGGACGCGTCGCATCCTTGCCTTCTCGCCCGTCATCATTGACAGGCATGTCAGCCGCTACCTGTTGGCCTTCCTGGCAGATGACCTCGGAGGGTTCTGAGGAACCCAGACCCTGGGCCGTACCTGCTGCTTAACCAAAGAATCCCCTGGCCACCCACTGTGGGGTCCGCACTTCTTTTTCTAAATACTCATTTTTCATTATTTATAATTTCTACGAGAACACATCACCTTCACTCTACAAGGTGCTTAATATTAAATGTCCCAGGTGCCTCTGCCTCTCTGAAGTCCTCTTCTTGAGTTGGTTTTCTGTGTGTGTGTGTGTGTGTGTGTGTGTGTGTGTGTGTGTGTGTGTGTGTGTGTGTTAGTGTTCTAACAATGACTGTTCACCTAGGACTGGCCCAGATGCTCCTTCCTGGCTTTGAGTCCAGCCTTGGCCGAGTGCCTCCTCCAGGTCCCCCTATCCCTTCCCATCAGATGTCCTACCGTTGTGCCCTCTGCCCCGTCATCCGCACACTGGAAATGCCCCACACCATCCCCTCCCCACATCCCCGCCATTCCTTCTCTTTGAGTCAACCATCATCTTCTCGAGATGTCCCACCCCACCCCTTGACCACACACGCTCCTCTGCACGGTCCCTCCCGTGCCGTATCTCGGCCTCCCTGGTCCTTCCTGCCTGGATGCCCTGGGTGGCCCCATCACCTGGTCTTGCTCTCCAGCCCACAGGCCACTGTGGGGAAAATGGCAATCTCTCTCTGTTGCTGACTGAATCCCAGGCCTAGCCACTGGTGGTTGGGATAGCAGTAGGTGACGAGAGTCCAGGAGTGCCAGCACTCAGAAATGCCACTTCCATTGAAAGCCTCAGAAAGTGTGGACCTTTATCCTCCCTTTTCCCTCAAGGAAGTGAGCCATTGGCCATTACAACCCAGCCAGGAGAAAGGGAGATGGGCATTAGGTCAGGTCTGAGCTCAGTCCACCTTGTCCTTTCCTGTGGCTAAGGAAGCTCCATGGTCCCACCCACCCCATGGTTCCTGCCCTCTGCCTGGCTGTCCAGCCACCAAGTCTCAGCTCCTCCATGCCCTGGAAAGTAAAGTCTTAATGGAGCTGGGCCCTTGAGCCCAGATACTATCCAATATCAAGTGTGGGGATGGGGTCAGTACTGCCACCGATGGGCTGGGTGTGGCCGGAGACCAGGCCTCAGCTGTGTGCGACACTATAGGAAACACAGTCCTTGTCACTGACCCACAGGAGCCACCCTGCCCAGGTGGGAGAGCATCTAGACTGAGAACAAGTGGTTCATAGAACTTTCTAGATCCTTTAGCGATGAAAAAAGCCATGGTACGTTTGAGGTCCTCGGCACTGGTCTCCAGCCACACCCAGCCCACCTGAGACCACCGGCAATTAGGCAGAATTGCATACATCTGGTTGGGAGAGGTGGCTGTAGACTCAGGGGTGGGTACTGTGACTCTTCTCACCCCTTCTATGAGGGACGTGAACAGTCAACAAGCCCAGTCGATCCTTTGTGAGCAGGCTCAGCCAGACTACTAAAGATGGGGGCAGATCGGCTCAGAAGATAGTCCTGTACAGCAACATACATACATACAAACTTACATACGTGTATACAATACTCTGGATGTACAGATACTCAAGCTGTGTACGTATGCACCCACATGTATGCTGCATGTGCAGATACGCAGGTCCATTTACATCCATACTCACACATGCAAGACACCAGACACAAGATATGAGCCAGGATACCTGATGGGCCTGGGTCAGGGTGTGTGAAGGGCTTGTTGAGTGTCTTCCTCCCAACCAGTTCCTCAAAACCAGGCTTTTTTGAGGAAACAACATTGTCAACTCACAGAGTCATCATGAGTCTGTGTTTTCTGGAGTCTTTGAGCTTCTGGAGTCACATGTGATATCTTGGAAGTTACCCAGGCAGGCTCAGGCTGAGATGACCCAAACGTGAGATGAGGTGGGCGTGACTCCCAGGGAGAGGTTCCATTCAAGTCCCAGGCTCATAGAGCACGTGAGGGCAGCAACCATAAGGAGGGCTCTGGTCGACACCCTGCTGACCGGCTCACCCCGGTCCTCAGGCTGGTGCCTTGCAGGCATAGTGCCATACTCCATTGGAGACCTGCAGGCGAAGGTGAAGGAAAGCTGTTTCTTCAGGGCCTCTCCATCTTCCGGGACACACTGTGCCCAGTGAGAACGTGTGGCTTTGGGGACAGTGCCCAGTTACCATTCTCACTGCCTCACCTCAGAGCTGCAGGAGCAGGAATGAACTTACTAGTGTCCAAGCTCAGTTTGCACCCCTGTAACACAGGAGCCCTACTCTGGGCTCCCATTATGAGCCCAGCTCCATGGACGAAGCCCCTGCTAAAGAACCATGGCCACAGAGAGTGTTGGATGAACTGACCACTTTGTCGGAGGGTTGCCCAATACGTGACACAGTAAAAGTGACAGATACCTGGGCAGAAGTGGCAGACACGTGTCAGTTGTGTGGACAAGCTCAACTTGGCCCTACAAAGTGAAGGAGGGTCTCAAGGGCACTGGAATCCTAGCTTCTGTCAGCAAAGGCTGGGAATGGTGTCTGGGAAGGGCCTGGTCCCCATTTGACACCCCTGCTGATGGCCTTCCTTAGAGATGCCTCGAAGACCTGTGAGCCCTGGTCCTCTGGCTGTACAGGAGTTCGATACCCTTATGTAGGCCTGGTCAACCTCCCAGGATTGCCAACTTCTACCCATGACCTTCTGACAACCCCTGGACACAGGCTGTCCCTGAATGCCCCTCCAAGAGTGTCCCAGCCACCTGAGCCCCATTCTGTAGCTGGATTCAAAGCCTGGGTCTGAGGTTTTCAACATCCTGGATTTTAGCTGCTGGCTTCTGCCAGGCTGGTTCTCCACAGGACTTCTCAAGCTGAATCCCATGGAGGAGAAAGTACAGGAACTCCCTGCCCGGGCCTCAGTATCCCCATAGGGCCCTGCCCTTCCTTTCAGCCATCTTGTCACCTGGTGCTTGTGACCCGGAATGAGTTAAGTCCACAAGGGGCAGGGGCCACAACTGGCCACTCACTGTTGCCCCTTGCAACACAGGACAGCTGGGTCTGTGAGTGCCTCTTGTCATCTACCCTCCAATGCATCCTTTGGGTCCTAGGTAGGAGGTCACTGACTCCTCTAGGCTATCTTGGACGCTCAAGTGAAAACAGGGTCTGCTCCTTGGGCAGTGTCCCCAGAAGGGAAGGGGCTAGTGGGGGTAGTGGAGAATGAAGGAGCCCCCCAACACAAGAAGTTTGAGGTGAAGGAGCCTGTGGAGGGGGTTCTGGAGCAGAGTGGATAGAATGTGATGGGGTGCTGAGCAAGCTGCGCACAGGTCAGTGGGGACACAGGGACACATGAAGTTGGAGCCCAGAAATGCATCTGCATCTTACACAACCCAAGCTGATGATTTGGGGGTGCGCTGACTCTGCTTTTGTGTGGTGTCATTATTTCTAGTTCCTGCTGGGTCAGCACCTGCGGGCTAGGCCATCTCCCCTTTGCAGGTGGCTCGTGGGGGCCTGCCAAGGTCCCTTAGCCACAAGTCCAATCAGCCACAGACCATGGCTCACATGGGTGGGTCCTGACCAGATGAGGATGTGGGACCTGTAGACCTGTGTACTTCCCACTGGCTTTAGCACCTAAAGGGCATGCAGGGAGATGGAGAGCTGAGGGACACTGCTCTATCCCATCACTGCTCAATTCTCTGTCTGTCTATACGGTGGGTGAGAGAATGGGGGCCCATTTAGACAGCAGGAGGGTTTTATGACGTGGCCTAGCGCAGGGAGGCACTGATTAAATCACTGTCCAACTACAGGGTTTGTTTGGTTTGGTTTTTGTCGAGGTTTGTTTTTGGTTTTTGTTGTTTTGTTTTTTGGTATTTTTGAGACAGGGTCTCACTGTGTAGGCCTGGAATTTGCTAGGTAGACCAGGTTGGCATTGAACTCACAGAGATCTGCCTGCCTCTGCCTCCCAAGTGTTGGGACCTAAGGTGTGTGCCACCACCACCCGGCTTAATCTGACAACAAATCAAGATTCTGGTACTGTCTTGCTGGGGATCCAGGGCAGCAAGGGGGGTTTTGTGGACAACAATGAGTGAGGTTGTGTTTCAAGGACCCTCAAGTCCCACTTTACAGTTGATCTGGCAGGTACCATGAGTGTGATGGAGGTTTACCCTGGCCTGAGAGTGGGTGGTGGCACCCACTGGCAGAAGTCAGCAGCTAGAGTCCTTCCTGGAGCCCCTCCCAGATCAGTGGCACCAGAGTCAGTGTTTTCCCAAAATTCAGTATTTTGGAAGGAATAACAGAAAGCCATGAAAGCAGGGAGGTAGGAAATGGAAATATGCCCCTAATGAAATCAGGAGGGAGGAGAAGGTATCTGGGAAATTGGACACGGGGTAGGCTGAGTGTGTGACGGGTGTGTGTGTGTGTTGGGGGGCGCACATGTAGTCCAGCTATCCAGGACCATCTCAACATTCCGAACAGGCGCTCCTCCCAGCCCAGCCCCACTGCCCACGGCGGTTCTTAAAGGACACATAGTGGGGACAGAAATGCTGCGGCCACGGTTTGTAAACCTAGCAAAGCTTAGACACGGCCAACTTTTGTCACTGGCTCTGGGGGGCAATGGCTGGGCCAGACCAAGGCTTCATCAACAAGAGAAGCAAGGGAGCTGGGAGATGCTCAGCTGTGCAAGCCTGAGGACCCGACCCCCCCAACACCCCATGCGAAGCTTGGCATGGCTGGGTGTGCCTAGGATTCCAGTGCTGAGAAGGGGGAGACAGGAGGATCCCTGGAGCCTGTTGGCCAGACAGTCTAACGGAATCAGTGAGTTCCGGGGTCACTGAGGAACTCTGTCTCAAAAAACAAGGTGGACAGTGGTTGAAGAAGACACCCAATGTGAACCTCTGACCTCCACATGCGTGTGTACACACACACACACACACACACACACACACACACACACACACACACAGAATAAAAAGCACAGAACTGGGTATACCCATTTCTCCAGCTCCAGCAGAGCCCCGTGGCCCTCAGGACACCCAGCAGGCAGCAGGACTCATTCTCTGGGTGCCAATGTTGGCACTGCATCAGGTTAAGTGCTGGTGGGGGCAGTTGGCATGGGTGTCTGAGTGTGAGGGAGTGTCATGTGAGGACAGAGCTGTGGGGGGCAGGAAGCACACACCAAGGGACGGGGCTGGGGGACAGGGACACACTCCTCAGATCAGGCTGTGAGGGGTCCTCTGCTACCATGGGTGTCAAGGTGGTCAAAAGTGAGTTCTGAGCACAGGTCCATGGTGGAGAGAGCTACATGCTCACTCTGAGCCACCCTGACCAGGGAATCCGGCTTGGATAACAGCCTGGCCTCAGTGAGGCCACTTCTGAGCCCCTCTAGTCCCATCTGGGGGTTTCCTCTTTTGACGAAGAAGGAACTAAAACCATGTGTTGGTCAACATCCGGCTGCTGAGCCCAGGCATGCAGGTGGCCGCTGGCCAGTCCACATGTTGGAGGGCACATTGGGGACTGTGCCAGGAGGTATGGCCCTCAGCCAGGTCTGGTCAGACCCAGGCCATCTGCACAGGACTCTATTGTTTACACTCAGCAGCCTTTTATTTTGTGTGCCCCACAGTTTTGAGTTAAGTTCTAGACTCAAATCTTCTTGCCTCAGTTTCTCGAATAGCTGTGACTAAACATGTACCCCTGCACCCAGATTTCCCCTGGAGCTTTTTTCTTAAAGACAGGGTTTCCTATAACACAAGCTAACCTCAAACTAACTAGGTAGCTGAGGATAACCTTGGACTTCTGATCTTCCTGCTTGTAGTAGGATAGGCCCACAAGGTGGAGGAAATTGGCTGAGTGGAATTACAGGCATGCATCATAACACTGTTTTTCCTGGAGTATTTAAAAGGGATCTGACCGACCATTTCCCCCCACCACCAAAAGATGGTGCTTTCTCTCATCCATCACTTTGGGTTCCTGACTGGTCAGCTGCACCCAAGGTTGCAGGGGCTTCTGGGATGTCTTAGTGCCCTAATTTCTAAAGGGGCATACTGGTCATATAAGTGAGGGACAGATAGGAAGTGGGGGTTTTGAGAGAAGCCCTGGTCCCTCACTCTCTGAATTGGGAAGGATGCTTAGAGCAGGCAGAGGCTGGCTGGAGGGGATCAGGTATGGGTGGGTCTTACGTCTCAGAGCACAGGCCCAGTGGGAGGAGGTGGGACAGATGGAGGGCTGGGGCTTGGAAGGTACAGTGAGAGCAAAGCAGAGGAGAGGTGGGCCTGGGAGCCGGCATCTGCTGGGTGAGGGAGACCTCTAGGTAAGACAGACTCTCAGGCCATCTCCTCCCAGTGAGAGGGTCCCTGCTGACCATGGGCAGAGCTGGATGCCACTTTGGAGGAGGTGTCCTGTGGGAGCCCACAGAGGCTTCCTAGTGAGAATTTACTCAGGGTCAGAGAACCTGAGCTTGCTTTACCCAGCGGGGCTGCATAAGGGGATGATCTAACCACGGGCGTGGTTACCAGGTGTTTGGAAGGGTCTGCACTTGGCTGTGCAGCGTGCTTTGATCTTGCAAGGGTGAGTCTTTTGCCCCGCCCCTTGGCATTGTTATAAAAAGCCCTTTTCAATAAAGGTATTGACCCAGGCCCTCCGAAGCTATCCTGTGTTTCTTCTCGTCGTCTAGGTCTCTCTATCTATCATTTCTTAATTCCTCTCTCCTCCAGCTAAGAACCCTTCAAAAGGTGGGAGCTGGACTCGCACAGGGTCCAACAGTCAGGACAGAGATGTGTCTAAGTGCCAGTCAGGTGGGCCAGCTTCAAACAGCAAGTGCTAGAGTGGGTAGAGAGCACATGTGACCCCATTGAGGCCACAGCTGGCAACTGGAGACAAGAACATGGCTGCTTCCCAGGCTCCCACAAGCTGCCTTTCCCCGGTACAGCACAGCCAGAGACAGCCTCACAGATGCCGTTAACAAATGCTTGGGCAGCCTCTGTGCATGCCGCCTTCCAGCCCTGCAAGTGGTACCTAGGTGAGCTCCTTCGCTTGAGCAGGCCTGAGGGACATCTCCTGAACTTGGAGAGGTAGCAGGGGCATGTGGAGTCCTGAGTGGGGTATTGTCTTCTTTTGCTACAAATGGCAGAGGCCCTGGGCATGGGACTGAGGTCTGCAATGCAGTCATTGGCTACATCAGGATGCTGTGCAGGTTTCGGAAGGCCAGCGGTTTCTAGTACTTGGCACGCCAACACTGGGCAGTCGAAGTGCAGAGAGTTGCAGTGTCCTTCCAACCGTGTACCCAGGAGGGTGGCACACTCCAATCTCTCATCACATAGCAGCTGGGGCCTGGGAACCTGTATTCCTCCCCAATCCTGAGGAGGCCAGCAGGGCAGGCTCCAGTACAGCACAGAATATGCCTGGTAAGGCATTTAGTATGTAAGGGAGTTCTATGAACTATTCTTATAACTTGTGTGTACGCATGTGCAATATATACGTGTGGCATTGTGTAGCATGCATGTGTAGAGGCCAGAGGTCAAAACCAGGTCTAACTTCTAGCTGGCTGGCCAGGTGAACAACAGGGCTCCTCAAGCCACCCCACCGTCCACCCCAGCACTGATAATCCACTGCACCTGGAATTTTACGTGGGTGCTGGGGATTTAAATTTGGGTCCTTGTACTTGTACAGTAAGACTTTAACCACTGAGCCATCTTGTCAGCCTCTCTTGAAACTTCTCTGTGCATAAAGGCTGTTGAGCCTCAGATGCCAACTTCTGCCTTAAAACCTACCCCTGGGCAGAAGGAAGGCTGAGAGTTCAATCAGGTATTCCAAAGAGGGTGCCCTGGCTAGAATGTGCTCATGCCCCTGCAGGGAGGGGCTGCCTGGGAGTGGAGGATGGTGCCCCAGGAGGAGGGTGGCACGTGGAGCCCAGCAGGGAAGCACATAAGCTTTATTGTCATTCCTGATTAGAAAAGTGGGGTCTAAACCCCTGAGTAGGAGGCTGGGCTCTTCCCAGGTCACTGCTGGCAGAAGGTACCGGCATGACCTGTGGCCCCCATGGGCATGGCTGCCTCTTACTGGCTGCCAAGCCTAGGCACTGAGGCTGGAACCAGTGGCCACTACTGGAGCTGACAGGCACGGACAGTTGTCCAGGGTCCCTGGCCTAGGAAACAGCAGAGGCAGCAGTCTCCAGGGTGACCCGTGCAGGCTCCATAGGAAATAGAGACACTGATGTATCAGCAAAGGGAGGCACAGATCCTGGTCCCTCTGGAATGTCCTGAGACGTCGGCCAGCGCTGGCCCCTCGTTGAGCCCAATCATGGACTTGCTGCATGTCCTTGGTGGGCAGTGACCATTCTCTGGGCAAGGGTTTCTGTGGGGCTGTCCAGTTCTAATCTTCATAGCCTTGCATCCAGTTCCCACATGCCTCGAGCAGCCACCCACACAGCAGTCACAGTTGGATGGAAGTCCACCTCTGACCATGGTCCGGCGGTGGCCAGCGTGGGCTCTGGTGGTTTTAGGGGAGTGATGCACAAGGAGAAACATGCCTTAAGGGCACGGCAGTTGCAGGGGTCTGGACAGCTGGGCTGCGATCAGGTAACTTTAAGGACTCTGGAAAGACACAAGAGACGTGTGAGTGCCGCTAGGCCAACTGACAGTGCCCCAGGCTAGAGCGGGTGCTGAGGCCATGCCAGGGCCCGTGGGCATCAGGGCTACTCAGTCAGGCGTAAGGGACTGTCCCCCATGGACAAGGTGCTATAGCCCCTTTCACACTGAATACAATATCCCTGGGTCTCTGTCAGGACTTACAGGCCAGGCCCATCATGGTGTCAAGAGCCAGTCAGTAGTGACCATGGCCACCCTCCTAGTAAAAGCCACTACTCCAGCTGTCAGCAGCAGCGGACTATGCCGTCACCAAATACCTGAAGCCTCTGGAGTCAGCTCTGGAGACACTTATGAAGAGTTGAGGCCAGGAGGACTAGGACTATGTTCCCACAGGCCCTGGCACCCTCTTCCTGGCCAGATGACCACTCAGGAAGCATCAAGGACTACATTCAGGGGTCGTAAGTGGGCTGGGCATGCCACATGTGAGGGGGTAGCCAGCCCACAACCCACCACACCCAATGAGCCTCCCACAGTGGCGATAGCAGCAGGTCTCAGCCTCCCTTACCAACTCACCGGGGTGTCCTACTGCCGGGGTGCCACGTCCATTACAGGCTTCTGGACCCCAAAGGCCGTAATGAAGATGTTGACCACCACGATGATGAATACTAGTCCTGTGGCCAGGTTGTTAAGGAAGTCCAGCTTGGCATGCTTGGCTGGGTTGTTAAGGTCGTACTTGACTGTGGGCGAGAGGGAGAAGATGCTACCCAGAGAAGCCTGGCCTGCATGAACGTGTCTAGGGAGTGTCCTGAGTGGACCGTATAGGGTTCTTGGCCGTATTTAGGATTTTGTTCCCCATTGAAAAATTGCCTGTTTTGCTCAAATTAGGCATGGGTGTCCCTACCTTCTATGTTCTCCACTTTCTCCAGGCAGGCTATGGGCAGAGGTAACAGCATTTCTGGATGCCGAGCCAGGCCAGGTTTCGTTACAAAGGCAAAAGCGCTGAACTCCAGAGCTTTAGTTTACAGACCCTCCGCTACACCTTAGGCTCTGCTACTATACCCATTTCACAGGTACAGACCATGAAGTCCCAGAAGGTCCCCTCATTAGCCCAAGGTCATATTGCCAGAAAGCAAATCTGGACCCTCCCTGTTCCTGATGGCATCTTCCACTCTGAACAGGCACCAAGGTTGCCCCCGGCAACCCCAGCCCACGTTCCCATCTACCATCCATCTATGCCTACCCAAGGGAGTGGGTCATCTGCTGAGGGGACACTCAGTGACTCAGTTTAGGAATTAGTGGTTATATCCTACCTACATTTTGGATTTTCACTTGGAATCAGAAGGAAGAGTTGGGCATCCTGTCCATGGAGACAGTGGTCCAGGGCCAAGGTCACCTTCTGGGCCCAGAATCATCTTATCTCCAGAACCACTGAGTCTCTCCATTCTTTATTCCAGAGTCTCCTCTTTACCTCCTGCTCCAGGTTCCCCTCATCACATCTTGACCCAAGGTCTCCTCCTTGCTTCCTAGGTAAGGGTCTCTTCTTTGTCACCTAGGGAACTTGGCTGCTCTTTGCTACTGGACACAGGCAGCAGAGTCAGGCCTGAACTGGTCTAAGCAGGGAGGACTGGCTAGCAGAAGCTACCACAGGGACCCAAGGAAGCAGGTACCCAATTCCCCCTTCCCCTGCACTACCCCACCTTCCAGACCCTGAGGACCCCCAAAGCTCTGCTTTCAAAGGGCAGGGTCAGAGGGGAGAAGCAACAGCCTGGACCACAAGCCTGGCTACCTGAGGACCAAGCATTTGAGGTGAAACCACTACAAACACCCCACCCTCCACACCCACCCCAACCTCTCCCCCATCCCCTGTCCATCCTTGGGGCTGTTCGAGCGGCCATGGGCCCTACCCAGGAAGATGAGAAGCACGCCCACTCCGATCTGCAGCACGAGAGAGATGGAGATGAGGACCACGAGAGGCACAAAGAAGGCAAAGTCATGACCCTGTTCCACCACGGCCTTCAGCTGCGATGCGTTGGCCATGAGCAGCGCAATGTCCAGCATGCTCTCTGCTGCGCTCTTCTTGTTGGCGTAATGGTTTACATTGATGGGCCGGTTCCTCCAACCCCAGCGGGGTGGCTGTGGGGAGCAAAGTGATCAGTAGGGCAGGGTCAACGAGGGGCTCTGGGGAGAGCTACAGGAGGAGGTCAGGAAGGGGTTCTGGGTCTCCCTGGGGCTGCAGGGAGTTGTCAAGGCCCCTGCAGGTAGGGCTTCTGATGCCCCAACCCTGGCAAGTGCTTGTTACTCTAAAGAAATTCCCTGGGGTAAAGTTTTGGAGAGAAGGAAACCAGAACACCAGCCTCAGCACACACACATACGGGCCTCCAGCTGAGAAAGACCATGGCCCTCACTATCCCGTGCAGAAGGTAGTCTTCCTTGCCTGTGAACCCTGGGCCTCCCCTCCCCCAGAGTCTAGATTCCTGCCTGGTATCAGGAAGAGAAATGAGGTGGGAGTAGACAGGTCCCTGCATGCTGGCCCAGGCTTGAACTAACCTTTCCTGGGCTGAGCCCAAAGGTCTGGTCAACCCTGCCTTGGCTCACCTCCCAGCCCCAGCCTCACCCCCGCTTAGTGGGACCCCACATACAGACAACACCCCCAGCTTCAGTATCACCCTGCAGGATGGTCTGGTCACCCTGTTTAGCTACAGCTACTCATGGATATGTGTCACCAAGAGCACACAGCAGGTGCTCAATAGATGTCCCACCATCCTGTATGCAGTAGAGCAGGATGTCTGTTTCCTGAATTTTCATAGTAATGACAGAGATATAATTCCAAGCTCTTTTCAGGTTAGGCAACCCTTGATGGCATCCTCTCTTCTCTTAGGGCCAGTCCCAGCCCCAGCCCCTGCCCCTCCCTGGAGGCGACTTCCTAGGTCACCTCCCACCTCTTACATTGCCAGTCACAAGGGACCCTGTAGGTCTCTCTACCCGCAGGATCTTCCCCTCCAGATACCCCCATGCTCTGAGGTTCTTTCTGGAGGCCTCTGCTTCCAGTGTACCTCCCCTGGTCCCCCTGGTAGGACCTGGCTCCTCCTGTCACAAGAGGTCACCTCTCTAGCTGGCTTGCTTCACTCTAAGTGGCTGGTTTTCTCTTTCCACAGGGCCAGTCAGCTCTCTCAAGCTGCCCTGGTTGGGCCCCTTCTCAGCTCCCTAGGAAAATCTCAGCAGATCTAGGCTCAGCCCTTTGTCCACTGGTACCCCTGAGCCATCAAGTCCTGAATTATAGCCTCCAGGGAGTGGGCATGGAGCTGAAAGAGGTGACCAGGGCCGGCTGCTGGCGGCCAGCCACCTGGGGCCACCTTGAAAGATCCTGTTTCTAGACTCATGAAAGATGCAGGGGATGGAGGCTGGCTGTGCTGCAGGGCTGTGGGGAAGGCGTCCACTGTACTCAGGTGACTGTTGCAGGCTCGAAAGCCCAAAGCAGGGGCCACTGAGCTGACAGAGGGCAGGCCTTCACTTGGACGGTGTGTGTATCTTTAACCTGAAATTTCTTCTGAAGTCATGTATTCAAGAAGGAAGGCAGTGGGGGGGGGGAGGCACAGGTGCACTCTGCTGCCTGAACCTGGGCTGGAACATACCAACCGCCCCCCACCCCCCACCCCCGCCCCCGCTTTCAACGTAAACTGCACTTTGAATAGCAAGCTCCCTTTGGTCAAAATTCTTACTCAAGAGCACATTCCTAGTGTGTGAGACTGTGTGGGGGTATTTGTGTATAATTTTATGTGTATATGAAGTTGTATGTAGAAGTTACATGTATGTATTGTAGAAGTTACAAATGCATGGATGTACATAGGTATGCTTGCATACTCAAAGTACTGTGCGTGCATGTGTGTGCACAAGCCCGCATGCCATAGAACACATACATATAAATATCTCCACATAAACACACACAGATAAATATGCCTATGCATGAATGCTTACATAAACACAGGAAGTGGGACTTTTGATCACTTAGTTGGTGGAGGAGAAGAACTCCACCAACTGCAGAGGATGGATGAGGTGAAGCCACAAATAGCCCCAGGCTAAGCTTGCTGAGCAGCAGGAAGAATTTCTTTTGATTCTGAACCATTTAAATACTTCGTGACCACATGGTCACAAGGACCAGATACATGAATGAACTGCCTCACGTCCCTAACCTCACTCCCTGCCCTCAGCACTGAGTCACAAATGCCTAAGCCCCTGCTGGCCTCTCTCAAAGGGCAACCGAGGCTCCTTTCCAAAGCCACACAGCAAGTGGGAGCCAGGCGACAATTTGAACTCATGCTTTGGGGCTCAGAGCCCTGGCAGCTGACACTCCAAGGAGACAGTCCTCAAGGCGCTCTCTCTCTCTCTCTCTCTCTCTCTCTCTCTCTCTCTCTCTCTCTCTCTCTCTCGTTCAGGACAGCTAGTCTCGCTCAGTCTTTGTCTCGAATATGCCATAGGGCTTGTGGACTTAGTACCCTGAGATGGCTCAGAGTCCTTGGGGCCAACAGAAGCTACAACCTACCAGCCATCTGCTTCCCTCTCAGCCTGTAAGATGATGATATGGGCCTCAGGCCTTCGCCTGGTGTTAAACTCTATTTCCCACAGCCTGGCACTGTGTCCCCCACAAGCTGCAGGTCTCCCCACCTTCATGTCTGGGGATGCCCTCTGGGAAACCTGTCTGCCACTAAGTAATAGGCTACACTATTCTCCTCTGGGGATCAGGACATGGAGGTTTCAGGGGCCTTGTAGGATACCTCCAGGGAGAGGGAGGTTCAAATTCAAACCAAGGATGTAAGTAAGCTGCACACCTAGGGCTGTACCTGCGCACACACCATTGGTGTCCACTCTGGCAAGGGCCTCTGAGGTTTCATGCAGCTGGGAAGGAGCCTACTCCTGGGGTCTGATCCTAAGTTATGCTGGTGACTGCCACACAGGCCTCTCCCAGGATGTACAGTAGGATGGATCCAAGGGTTGCTGGGCCACAAGCCATAGAACAGGGAGCCCTGTGGGCCTAACCAGCTGCCTGAGCATGCTAGGAAACCCTTCCAGGCCTGTGCCAGTGACCTGGGCAGATCAGGGAGAAAACACACTGGTTAATATGTCCCAGGGCTGGCAGGAGTTCCCTGAAACCTCAGCGGCAGCTGGGAACTGACATGAAACAGGCTGTTTTCCTCTAAACACCAAGAAGGAACAGTGTGGTGTAGTCAGCACGTACAGGGAGCTGTACTTGTGAGGGCCTGGTCAAATGGCCTGGGGTCACCTGATGGTTCATGGCTGAGGTGGGAAGGGAGTGGGTACCTAAGGGCTGGCTTAGTCATAGCACAATGGGTACTACCGACCCCCCAAAGCTTGAATGGGGATCTATGCCCATCAGCTTGACCCATAGAACAAGATGCTGTCCTTTATACACACACCCTGACATTCCCAATCTCACCACACCAATGGCCAGCAGGGTGACTGCTTATCAGGAAAATTCAGGGAATTTCATAGCATGGTTTCAGAGGCCTGTGACCTGTTGGGACATGCTGCATCTAGTGGCAGGGCCAGGATGTACCTTTACTCAATGTATGGCTCTTCCCAGTGACAGACTTCAGTCAATGAGAAATACCAGCATACGAATAAAAACAGAAACCAGGAAGGCCAGGCCAGGCACACAGGCTCTCCATGAGGCCAAAATGCTGTCCTAGGTGACCCAGAGGTCCAAGTCTAGGTAGATCCTGGATGGCCCCAACCTGGACTGCTCAGAGGCCCTGTCACACACCAGTAGACGGTGGGGGCTGCTGTGGCCTGGGGGCAGGAGCTGGGGACCCACCCCCCAGGCCAGCTCCGGCAGGAAGCCACCTGACCCTGTCAGAATCTAAAGCCCAGACTTCTGCGCCCCAGGCTGTACTGTCCTTGCCCAGGGAGCCTAAGAAGCAAGACAGAAGTGTCTCCTGGTTCCACATATGCATTCCAGGCAGGAAACCCCAGTGAGGCAGCAGGAAGCATGGGAGGCGGGGTCCCCACAGCAGACTCACTTCCTGTGGCTCAGAACTGACCAGGAGTGACCCTGAGGCTCGCTAGGGTGGCCTTTAGAACTTGGCTAAGATCTGACTGTCCCAGGATCTGCCAGGCAAGCAGAAATGAGGAAAATAGGAAGCTTCCCCAAGCAGCTGAGGCCGGGCAGAGGGAATAGCAGTGTGCAATGCCATGGCCTGGAGACCTAAGATATGACCGCCGATACCTCAGCCTGGGTTCAGTGAGAGGTAAGAGCAGGGCAGGTACCACAGGGCTATGGCCCAGCTCCATCTCAGGCACCTCCCTCCTGCAGTGCCAGACATGAAGCCCAGCGTCATCACATGGGCACAGCATTTCCACACTGAACTGGTGTTTACTGTTTCTCAGCTGCCAGGTAAAAGTGAGCCGACTCACAAAAACCGCCTCAGTCTGTGGACATTAGCGAGGCCTTTGGGTAATCGGCTCTGGGGCACCTAGCATTTGGAGGGCACGGGCAGAGAGAACTTCCCTAGTGCTGTGCTTAAGAGGACGCAGCAGGGCAACTCTGCTGAGCCTCAGCCACCCGGGGGGTCGTGGCGCCCCCTTTTCCAGAGGGTTAACTGAGTTTCCCTTGGGGTTCCACCCTGGGGATGGTGCTGTCCTCCCCAAACCTCTGTGGGTGTCGCCATGAGAGTGTCTCCACAGCGAGCACCATCCTGTACTGTACTCTGCTGCAAGCATTTCCTTTACAGCAGCCATATAGTTTTAACTTAGCAGAAGCACTGTTACCAAAGCATTTCATAAATGATAAACTGAGGCACAGAGTGCTGACATGCCATGCCATAGAAAGTTGAAGGTTGGGAAGGGGGGCTGGGCATTGAGCAGGGCAGCCTTCAAGGCTGGCCACACCCCAGGAAGCATCCTGTCCCCAGTGACCCTAGACAAAACCTCCCACCCGGCCCAGGGTGTGCTCAGTAGTCTAGCCTCTGGTCTCCACTTGCTCAGTAGTCTAGCCTCTGGTCTCCACTTGCACTATTTCCTCTGCCTTGGTGCTCTCCCACCCAACCAGAGGGCCAGATCCGTGTCCCTCCAGCAAGCCAATGCAAACAACTCCACCACAGAGCAGCCTTCCCTGGCCTCTGTGCTCATGACCAACTACCACGTCAGGCAACCCTGCATACCCCTGAGAAGCCTACATTGCTGCTTTCATTCTCCTACCCGTGATCTTCAAAGAAGTGGTGGGGATGAATCTCCCTCTCTCTTGTTCCCAGAGCCAAGACAGTGACTCCTGAGTGCCCCCACCACACACACACACACACACACACACACACACACACACACACACACACTCCAATCTTTTCCTGGGGATATGCTCAGACTTCCCTTGGGAGGCACAACTCATCCAGCTGTCTGCAGAGCTGAACAGACAGTACTGAAGGAAAGACACAGCTAGGCAAGGTCAAGGGCTGGAGACAGGCAGGGCCCCACGTCAGACCAGCTTCTCAACCACCTGCCCATCTGCTCCTGATCCCCATCCCCTGTCCTTTTAAAACGACATTTAAAAAGGCCCAGAGAGATGGAGGGTTCTCCCCAAGAACACAGCCAGGGTGCCCCTGGCCCACTGCTTCCAGAGTGCTCACAGACTTTGACAGAGCCCACAGGTCTCAGCTGGCACGCCTGATCGAGTCCAAGGCTCTTCTAGTGCTGTTTTCTCCTCGCATCCAGGGACAGACACCCATGCTTCTACCTCTTGCTCCTCTGGTCCCTCCTCCCTGAACAACCCCGTTCCCACGGCATGGGCCTGGATCTGGGCAGAAAGTCTCTGTTCCCGTCTATTTTGCATCATGAGGACTTGTGGAAAATCCCAGCCTGGTGCAATTCCCCACCCCCACCCCCGAGGGGGGGTTCGGAAAAAGAAGGAATGTCCAAAGTCAACAAGTCACAGAGGGACAGAGGGCCACGCGGGGTGGTACTAGTGAAGGCTGGGCCCTGGCATGCTCAGCCCTTGCCCTGGAGGTAGACTGAGGGGTGAGGAAGGATGGTCCCTCAACATGGGCATCCGACCACTGCTGTGGCCGTGGCAGAGCAAACTCCGAGCAGGTCCGTTCAGTCCTAGAGTGGACACCCTGAAGGCTGAGAGGGTGACGTTCTGTTTTTCATAGGCAGGTAGGTGACCGCAGCAGGGGCACAGCCTCGGGTTTCCCCTATCACTGCTGCATGCGACTGTGTGGTCACCGTGTGGTGACGTAGCTGTCTGCCTGGTGCTGGCTTCCAACCAGGAGGCGGTGACTCCCTCTCCCGCCCACCCCAGGGCACGCAGGAGACAGCTCCGAGGCGCTGGAAGTTGGAGGGTGGTGTGGGAGGAAGGAGAGTCCGGGAGAGGGGGATGCCAACCACCTCCACCCGAGGAGTGGTGCCAGCCAGACGCGGACTCTGTACAGCGGGGCGACGGCAGCACGCTAGACCGCCTGGCGCCTCTGCCCACCTGCTGTGCTGGCCCCAGACCCACCACTTGCTCTCGGGACAGGTCAAGCACGACTTTTGCCCGGGAGCAGCGGCCACCACCACCACCACCCCGCAGTGCGGACGCGCGCACACCCGGCCCGACACCCACAGGTGCCCGCTGCTGAGCCGGGCCCAGAGAGGGCGGCGCCGGCCAAGGTCACACAGCGGCCGGGGCCGGGGGTGCTGGGATCTTACCGAGGCGTCGGGGGAACCGGGGAAGTCCGGGCGCAGGTCGCCGTTGAGCTCGTGCTCCTCGGCGCCCGACTCCATGGTGCGGCCGCCGGGCCGCCTAGCACACGGCCTGAGCGCGCCCTGCGCCTCCGCCGCGGGCTAGGGTTGAGCGCCCGCCCCCGACACGCCCCCCGAGCTCGGCCGCCCCCAGACTCCGCCTCCACCGGGGCGGGCCCGGGCCTAGAAGCCTGATGATGGGATCGCGTCGGTCCAGGAATAATCCCCTCTCTGGTCTTGATGTCCCCAATTCTCAGGCTCCTTCTGGATGGCTGAAGCAGGTAGCGCGGCGTCTGTCCTCGCGATGGCATCAGAGAGTCCCCAGGGACCCCCGTCTCTGATCAAGCCGCCCCCGCTTCATCTTTATAAAGGGGGGCTAAAGGAGTGCCCGTTGCTGCCCCCTGGTTTCCCCTGGGCAGGGCGCACCCTGAGGCAGTAAAGTCCCAGTATTTGCTAAGCACTCAACCCAGGAAAAGGGTGTCAACAGTTACTCTGGGCCACCTTAGCACTTTCCACTCCAGGGACCTCAGCTTTTTTTTTTGCCTGGAGCATGGAGCTGTGAATAAGTGCCTCCTGCACATTCTAAAGGCCCAAGGGAAGTGTTGTGGCCGGGTCAAGAGACACCCCTCCCTCCAGCAAGACCACCACAGAGCCGATATCCGATGCAAAACACAAAGGGGTTTATTGATGACAAGCAAGCCTGGGCTTGGTCCGCGTCCAACACACTGGCTAGCCAGGTGAAGGAGGACGGCCCTGAGCTCTCAGGGTGAGGGGTTTTTAAAGGGAAAAACCGTAAGCAGGGTGGTACAAGCCTTGGCATCATATGATTGTGTGAGGGTGTATAACCTTTGAATTTATTGGTAGAGGTTACAGTTATCATTTTTGAGCAGGCCTGGACAAGTCCCAGGCTTTGAGGCTTTGTCCTTGAGCTGCCATGGGGGCTGGCTGGCCTTGCACGTTCACACTGACCCATGCACACATTGACCCGTGCACGTAGCTCTAAATTGGTGAGACAACTGGCTGAACCTTGAGCAGACAGGAAGCTACTGCAAGGACTGTCTTTTGTTCACAGCCCTCCCAGAAGCTGCTTGTTCAAGTCTCAGGAAACTGAAACTGAGGCCTGATCCTGAGAGAAGACTGAGCAGCCTGTTATGGCGTCTGCTTGGTCCTTTCAGGAAGCAGAGGGGATCAGTAATGTGGCAGCTTCAGTGTCCGGAGGGAGCTGGCATCATGGTGCTGCCTGGACCTGGCACTGTGTACTCCAAGGATAGAAGGAGCTGTTGGACTGCTTCAGGCTTTGGCTGAGTGGATCCTCGCGTCCTAGCAGCATGTCCTGAGAGTTCTCCTAGCCTAGGAAGCCAGGTGGAGTACGGAGGTGAGAGAATGTTGTCTTCCAAGGAGACACCAGATGAGGGAGCTGAGGTTAATGGCCAGCTGCTGTTTCTTCTTTCTCCTGACCTTGACCTTGTTCTCAGGGCCTGCTTCTCTTTGCATTCTCCACTGCTGTTTGCTGATACCTCCCTCCCCGAGCCTCCCAGGAGGAGTAAGCAGACCATGGGACTCTTGGGAAAGAGGCGGTGGGCCCAGAACTAGCATTCTGCTGCCCAATGGCTCACCCTCTCTCTGTGCACCATCTTTCCAGCGTGTGTTGTAGCATAAGGCTGGAGTTTGCTCAAGGCCAAGTAAGCCTGTTGGTCATTGTCCTGTTGTTACCCACCCCACCCCCCACCAGAAGGAAGATGAGGGTTAGAGAGGTTAAGAAATGGTGCTTGGCCTGTAGTGGCGGCGGCGGCAGCAGCACAAGCCTTTATTTTTTATTTTTGGAGTTTTTGTTTGTTTGGTTGGTTGTTTTGTTTTTGTTTTTTGGTGTTTCAGGACAGGGTTTCTCTGTGTAGTTTTGGTGCCTGTCCTGGATCTCGCTCTGTAGACCAGGCTGGCCTTGAACTCACAGAGATCCACCTGCCTCTGCCTCCGGAGTGCTGGGATTAAAGGTGTGTATTGCCGTTGCCGCCGCCGCCGCCGCCGCCGCCGCCGCTGCCACCACCACCACCACCACCCGGCTTGGTGCAGGCCTTTAATCCCAGCTGAGGCAGGCTGATCACTGTTGAATTCAAGACCACCATGGTCTACAGAGTGAGTTCCAGGACAGCCAGGGCTACATGGAAAAACCCTGACTCGAAAAACTGAAAAAGAACAAAGAAAAGATAAAAAGAAATGGTGTTTATGCTGAAGAGATTGGTCAGTAGTCAAGATCATTGGCTGCTCTTCCAGAGGACCAGAGTTTGATTCCCAGCACACACCATGGTAGCTCTAATTCCTGTTCCATGGGGTCCAACATTCTCTTCTGGCTTCTGTGGGTACCAGGGACACATGTGATGCATGGACATACATGCAGGCAAACACACCCATCCACATAAAGTAAAATTTAAAAATTTAAGAATTATTTAAGAAGAAGAAAGAAGGAAATGGTGTCCAAGGTTGCCAGCATGCCAGGTCCTGTTGCAGGTGCAGTGGAAGCCTACCTACCCTAGGGAGCAGATGGAGTCAGGCACTAAGTAAGAGGTATAGAGGACAGCACTTTGTGAAGCCTGGTACCATTACTTCGCAAGAACAGGACTAAGGGATGAGGAGGGCTGGAGAGATGGCTCAGCAGTTAAGAACCCTTGTTCTCACAAACACCAATAATTCCAGCTCCAAGGAATCCAACAGCTTCTTTTGCACATGCATTGATGTGCGATTTATTTGCTTATTTAATAAATAGCAATTATTTAACAATTTATTTACTTCTGTTTTTTTTTTTTTTTTTTTTTTTTTGACACAGAGTCTCACTATGTAGCTCTGTCAATCTTGGGACTCACTATGTACATCAGGTTGGCCTCAAACTCAGAGATCCACCTGCCTCCTGAGTGCTGGCAATTAAAGGCATGGGCCGCCATGCCTGGCACAACTTTATACATGCATACGCAAGAAGAGGCTGCAGAGACAACTCAGGTGGGGAAGTAAATGCTTCAAGTGTGAGGACCTGAGTTTGATCTCTCGAAACCACCTGAAATGCCTGCACTCCGATGTGTGTTTGTAATGCCAGTGATGGCAAGAGAGGAGCAGAGAAACGGGTGTGTCCCTGGAGCTCACGGCTAGCTAGCCGAACCTCTTGATGGATTTCCAGGCAAATAAGAGCCCCTGTCTCAAACAAAAGGTGTGCGGGCAGTGGTAATGCATGCCTTTAATCCCAGCACTTGGGAGGCAGAGCCAGGCAGATCTCTGTGAGTTCGAGACCAGCCTGGTCTACAGAGCGAGATCCAGAACAGGCACCAAAACTACACAGAGAAACCCTATCTCAAGAAAAAAAAAAAAAAGAAAAAAAAAGAAAAAAGAAAAGAAAAGAGAAAAAGGTGTACAGTACCCAAGGAATGACACCTACGCTTGTTTTTTGTCCTCTTCACACTTGGGCGTCTGCACACGCACAGGAACAGCCCTGGGAAGGAGGCATACTTCCTCCACTCCTGGGAAAGGTCCAGTCAACAGCTCTCAGGCCAGCAGGCCACACTAGGAACTCCTAGGGGCACAAATATAGTGGCCTGTCTGCCCCGTCCCCCGCCTCAGGGAATATTTCCAAGCTGAACAGTGTTCTCCCCAAGGGCATTGGAGACCAGTGCTTGCTCCACATGCAGGAACCAGGATGCTCAGCTCTTCCGGTGAGTTTAGGAGGTGAAGCTGCAGGCACAGAGCGTGCGAGTGTGTGCGAGTCAGCCCCAGGTGTTTATCAGAACGTGAGGTTTCCCACTCCCCCAGCTGCAGGCCCTGCTCTTGACGCTCTGGGCCTCGGTGTCACCAGAGGTCACGGGGGGGGGGG